CCTGATGTTGAAGTATAAGACAATCCTCGATAGTATAGTAGTATTATTTGTAGATATAGTCTTTGATTTTTGTTGGGTAAATTGCTTCAATTTAGAGGAGCCATGTAACGACTGTCGGCGTTGTTTTAATAGCGATAACGCTATTCTATGTAGTTTAGTGATTTTACTTGTATAGCGCCCTCTGTAGTTAACGAACAAACAGACCGGGACATGCCATCTTGAAGAGAAAGTTAGTCTGATTTGATTGACGAAGATAAAACAACAAAGTTTTAGTTGTATTTAGCACCGATCCCCGGAATAGAGTTTTACGTGAATTTGTAATTCTCTCCACGAGTTCAATGAACCTTGACACTGGAGTGACCTTTGCGAACCAGTGACCAGTGAATAAACGACATTGATGTGAAATACTGGAGTGATTTATTTCTGACGCTTGCGGACTGCGACCCCTCAAGTGAACTGTTCCATTATTGATGAAATTAATTTGAAATGACATTATCAATAATTATCAATAATCATTCGCCACAGATGATTCCTCATGGTTGACCATATCAATCGTAACAAGTCGAATGCGAGTTTGTAGTTCTCGGTGGTGGGTGGAAATCTGTTGATCAATCGTTTGGCTTCACCATCTACGCAGTTTCTGAGGTACGTGAACTTTTGGATATCGGATATATGAGGGTCGTTGTGGACAGCGGCTTTGAAATTATCAATGAATTCAGCCCAAGTGAGTAGATCACCGTGAAAAGTGGGTACATTTGTATTTCTAAATAAGGAAGATGAACTGACTTGTAGTGGATTTGTTGATCTGGTTGCAGGGCGGCCATGTTGTGATCGAGGGGTGCTTGTTGGATGACTGGTTGTTGAAATCGAATAGTCTGGAATTCTTCGACAAACATCAAAAGTCGAGCGAAGCGGGCGATTATTTCGACTTCATATGACTCAGTCTCGGTAAATTCGGCGTGGTCTTCATCGTAATGATCGATGACTTGTTGGTCCGCGTTGACTAGCGCTGATAGCCGGTTGTCGACAGCTAATTTCCATGCGAGTATTTCTCGGTACGCGGCGTTTTTGTCATTGGCATCGGGGTACTGCGTGATTAGCTCTTCAATCGGTGTGAGGACGGCTTGTAGTTGTGCCCTTGCTTTGTTCCTCCGTTGCTCTTGGCATAACGATGATTAACTTGAAAGTTGGGATGAATCGTGGATCTTCCCTGGAAGTTGACTGGTAGATGAATCAATCGACTCGCATAATCCTGGTTTCTCGGCAGCACATGTGCGACCGCAACGATCCACCATTTCAAATTTCGTGATAACGAATACATTATGAGAGAAATATTAACTGCGCATGTGCACAAGTAAAGCGCTGCTGATTACGCTAAGCATTCTGGGTAATTCATTAGAAAACGTGTAGGGAAGGTTTTAAATCAATGTATCAAGAAAGAAAGCATGCACCCATTGACTGCCTAAATGAACTTTATTCTCTTAAAAACATACAGATATATCACAGCTAACCTAGAATCAGTGAATGGCATCCTTATTCATGGATTCTGTAATTTCTGGACGACAGACGCCTCGCCTTAAGGCCGGATGAGCCAAAAAAGTATATTCGCTGGATTTTATTTTCATGGAATCATTCCTTCAACGAAAATAGCGAAAATAAATTCCAAGCGAAAATAAAGTATTCTACAGTATATCAAGTTTGAACAAAATCCATCTGTAAACAGCCGGGAAATGCTTGATAATCAGTCAAAGCAAGTCAGAGATATGGCACTAGAACCACATATATTAAAACAAAATGGCCAACAGTCGGCCATTTTAAATCTTATCGGAAAAACAAAATGATGTGCATCAAGGTCTTATAATGTGTAATGTATATACCAATTTTGAACAAAATCCATCAGTAAACAGCCAAAAAATACTTGATTTTGAGCACAAAAATGGCCGCCATTCGGCCATCTTGAATCAGATCGTGAAACAAATTGACGTGCATATGTATACTATAATGTATGATGTATGTGTGAAGTTTTATTGTGATTGGTCCAGGAATTTCTAAGATACAGGTGCACGCACACACAATCACACACACGCACACACGGAGGTCGAAACATAAGTCGCCGTTTTCGGACTGCGTCCAAACGGGGACTAACGAGCAGAGAACAGTTGTTCATTAGGCAAATTAGCTAAGAAGCAAGATGGGAATAAACAAGTGATGTCAAGTCCTCGTTGATTAAATATTAAACAAAAATGAAATGGGGCTGCAATTTTGAATCGGAACTTGCAAATGCATGTGTGCTAATGAATAAAGTTGTTAAGCTTGATTGAAATCAATGAAAGATTATGGGTCTGCAACAACATTCGTTGATAAAAAAATGTCTGTCAGTCAGGCATTACAAATCAGATTTGAAAAACAAAATAACATGCATAAGGATCTCATTATGTTTGATGTATGTACATGTATGACCCAGATCTAGGTTCAGAATAACAGAGATGCTCGATTTTGATGCACTGTTATCATTAAAATGGCTGCCATTCAGAAATTCTAAATCAAATCATCAAATGAATAATTGAGAGCAACATTAAATTTTGAATGTGATTGGTCAAAGCACGTCAGAGATATTTGCTCAAAAACAGCATTTTTTTCAAAACAAAATGACCACCAGTTGGGTATTTGAAATCCAATTTGAAAAACAAAATGATGTACAACAAGATCACAGGGTATTCAATGCAAGTACCATGTTTGAACAACATTTATCCCTGCACTATGGAGATTCAGCAAATCTTATGTATTAATGTTGTATCAGACATTCATTCCACTCTATGAATGCACCAAATTCCAATGCATTCATGCACAGAATTGCAAAGATAAACAAAACACATTATGAAACTGATTACTATGCAAATAACTTGATTAATATGCACCAAGTTGTATTAACATTAACAACTAATCAATTATGGAGTTTATCAAAAAGACTGTTCTTGAGATATACTGTTGAAACAAAACAAAGAACACATTCACACGAGTGGACAGACAACACCAAGATATTACCACCATTAGTGCTTTCGAAACATTTTAGCCAAAAAGAACAACTGCATGTGTACATGTGTAGCAGTTATTGCGGTATTGGAATTACAGAGACTGAATGTACTTTTCATGACACAGACTCTAATCAGCACATTGAGCTTTTAAAATCAAACATATTTGTTTGTAGATAAGACATGATAAGTCTTTCTTATTTTATGATTTTTTTTTCCTTACTACCCTCTCCTTTCTAGTTCTTCTCTCTTGCCAGCTAGAAAGTTGACTCTTGATAGCAGTCACGATATTAACCTCATCCGGAATCTGTACAAACCGAATCATCTTCCCTTGAACAAAAAAATTACTGAGAATCATCACTTGTCCATCGGCATTAACAAACTCCACATCAGACATGAACACATTCATGTATGCATCCACACTGTCAATAACTCCAGTGACTGTACTCTCATTTCGTAACTCAATCACGGTAGACTTGCCGGTGAGTGCTTGCAGCAGACATATAAGAGTGTTTTCAGAATGGAAGCGTTCTCTCAAAGAAGTCATGGTTTATTCAACCATATGAATCCTATCAGAGAAAAAAGGCAGAAGGGTTAAAATTTGAAGAAAAAAAACATATTGTGCACAATTGATCAGCCATGGATTATAAATTGTAAATTGTTGTAGATATATACATGTATTTATAAATGTAAAACAGTGTGATGTGCAGCAGCCACCCATAATGTCAAATAATGTCAATTAATGTATATTCAAATCCAATTGCTATTGGAATGCTTTTTCGTAATGTCCTCTATTTGCAAGTAGACTGTAATACAATCATTAAATTCAGAATTGATGCGACTGATTAGATGATTTTCAAACTGCCATTTATTACCAAATATGAACAGGATGTGATTAAGTATGTTATTTGCTATGCAAATTACTTGAGCTGATGAATTAAAAAGTAACATACATTCTTATAATAAAGAGGATGCTTATTGATGATTTTTTTCTTGTTTTGGTAAGATACAGAAAATAGAAGTGGTTAGCATATAAGTTTCAATCTATTTGATACAACTGTTATGCAAAAATTTTCAAGCACATTGATGACTACGAGAACTGATGCACATAACTTTCAGAATTTTAATTGCAACCATCTTAGATTGCAGTTAAACAGGAAGTGGCCATTTTGAACCATTTCTGATGTTCCAGGCATTCTGATTGTTTTGTAGCATATTTGATATATAGGCTACTCACTTCACAAAAAAAATTATGTGACTATTTTAAAAATGACATTAAAATACTATTTAGAACACCATGTATAAAGTTTGGAAAGCTCTTTGTGATTGGTCAGATGGTTTGACTGCCATCTTTGATT